ATTGTGAAATAACAATGCGGGTTAATGGTATTCTTTATTTCTAGAGGGGGAAATTACAGACATGAAACCAATTAAGCCACCTTTCTTTCTTTGCAAAAATGGAGACCCTCAGATTGTGCTTATTGCCAGTAAAGACACATGGATTTGTGGTTCTTTCCCAGATTTTACTGAGATAGGCAATGATACTGGGGCTGTCCAGGTTTCCCCTTTTGAGCTGACAATGACTATGTTAATATGCTAGCTCACAAAAGGCAGCACTAAATAGGAAAACCAAATATTTTGAAATGAATATTCCACAGTATCCCCTTGCAGAGGTTCAGCAATGCCGCTCTTGGAAACCTCTATTGGGGAAAGGTTCTTGATTGCCCTTTCCTGGACATGGCTATGGAGAGGCTACCCTCCTGTGATTGATAAAATGTCTCCAGAGAACAATGGCAGACTAATTTATGTGTTCCTTAAACTTTAAATAGTTGTACTTTAGTCCCAGGTCTACAAAATATCTACCACAAAAACCTTTCACATGGAAACACATCATGTCACATGTACATTGTTAATGTAACTATGGTAACCCCCCAAAAATGCCACCAATGTGTCTGTTTCATATACAAATGAGGTGACAGCTGTGGAGTCCTTGTCTGCCCGTAGTATAATAGATGTGAGCTAAGACAGCCTGGGTCAGAAGATTACAACTCATTTACAGTAATCAGAGCTTTCAAATAACATCACAACATCTGAGCTATAAAGAGTGTAAATGGAAGGTAAGAAGCCACTATAAAAGCAGGCTCTACTCCACAGCTTTCAAAACTAAGTGTCTTAACCTAATGCACTGGTCTTTTTAGTAGGTGCTCTGAAATTAGGATGAACAGCACCTTTGATGTGTATTGCAAGCCTACACCTATTTTCTCTCGCTTCTTAGGGGCAATTTTTCAGGTCAGTAGATATGATGATTCCATCCAAGTTTAATGTTTATGGTAGTTGTGATCCTGGTGGCAAACCTTTTACAATCCTTTTTGACAATCTAATCAATTATGATAGTTAGTCCTTCCAGCCCTATTGGCCCAGCCATGCTATGTTACAACTGAGGAATCTCAACGTTAGCAGGTTAAAGAAGACATACCAGATCACTTGGGTATAACTGATAATAGTCTACTTATCAGCAAAATAACTGGTAAAATAATGCAAGGTCAATAAACCATTTATTATATCTGTTCTTTGAGACAGAGAAAATAAACTCTGAAATATACCCAGAATGTTGATATGTTAAAAGTGAACTCCATTTAAAACTCTAAGATCCAATGGCTCTCTTGTGGTCTCTAAAATGCTGCATTTTATTGGGTTTAGCCTTGGTTTGTATTCTGTTCTTTGATCCCAAACAAGAACGACTACATGTTTTACTGACTTCATCTATATAATTTTAATTTCATTCTGAATAAAATATTAATCAAAGCTCTATTCATGAGTTAAAGATATTTCCATTGTTTTCAGAAACCAAAATATGGTTTTAAAATGGAAGCTGCTTTATCTTCAGATTGGCTTAACTCAAAATAGATGTTCAGCATAATAACTTAAAAAATTCAATACAATATTTGAGCAGCCTTATATTAGTGCTGAAATGAATCACAGAATAACTATTTGCAGCTGAAAAAGGAAATTATAAGAAAGCACTGTGAAAGTCTGGTAAAAGTAACACCTATACCTGTAATGTATCATATTTTATATACAGTCTATGGCTTATTTAAGGTGGCATAAAAGCCTATAATAAGATAATTGATGATTATTTATAGTTAGCCAGGTGGGGGGGAATCAAACTATTAACTGTAATAGTAGATTTATTTCTTAGAAGTTGATTTTTAAGTACTTATGCTCTCTGGATATGTTGCTGAGAGAGATTATTTATAATAGAAGGAGAAGTTCAGGTCAAGAGCCCAGCAATATAAGACTCTACACAGAGGCCAAGGTTCAGCTTTCTTTCTCATGTTTATCTTACTTGTTAATCTCACAGATCCAGAATCTAACAGGAGCTACCTATGCCTACTTTGTCAGAACTAACATCTGTAGTTGTATCTGGTCTGAGTTTCTTTTATTTAACAGAACAATCTTTTCTAATAATTAAGTATCTTATTACTTTTATTTGCCAGAATGCAAACTCAGTCCTTCTTGTATTAAACTTGTCCAATAAAGACCTCCCCTAGGGAGGCTAACAGTTGACAGTTCATAGATGTGATGCTGTGGTATCTTACCTGATTTCAAAACTACCCTCTAATAATTTTATATCAAAGGGGTATGTGGGTTTAGTTTGAAAATGCCATTGCTATTATATAATCACCCTTCAGTTCCATCAGGGAGACAGAAAGCCAGGTTTGAGTAACAGAAGAGCTCAGTACACCAATGTTGCTTTCTGACTTCTGCATAGCTTCAAGACAGAAAATGCAAACTTGGCTATTAACACTTCGCAATCAGTTTGAACTTTATTCATTTTTTTCCTAACTGGAGTAGACTGCCTTATATATAGAGGGCACTGGACCAGAATATGATAATCATAATGACAACAACTTCAGAAAACATGTGAAACAGCATGCTAACATCTGTTGTCCACCCCTCTCCCCAGTCAAGCCCCTCAAAGCAATATTGTCTTTCTGTTGTATTTTAATGTCTCTTTTGGCGAGTATATAGAAAACAGGGTCATCAAACCCTGTTGGGTGAATAGGTTTCTTTTCCCCTCTAACAGTGTTGGGGGCTGACAAAAGAAGAGTTTCTGGGGCTGGCTTGTCAGGGGTTATCGCTGCAAGCCTCACATGTGGCCCATGTGGCCCAGCTTTTGTTCTATCAGTCTTACAAAGTCAGGAGGTGAATAGCATGACTGACCAGCTAATATAATACAAGACAGAAAAGTCCTTGCTTTGGGAGTCCATTGAATTACTTCCTCTGTTCACTGTTCAGTACTGGGACGCACACACAACACACACACCACACACACACACACACACACACACACACACACACACACACACACCACGTCCACTCCCTTTGCTGGAATGGGATGCTCTCATCAACGGCAGCTTTTTAACATTGTCACCTAAGTAACTCAAATGAGGTTAAATGGACAGTGATCACTCTATTGAGACCTTCCAGTTGGTCAGTGACAAGCACCTTTTCCTATATGACTTCTCTCTCAGGGCAGGGAGCAAATGTTGGCCAAAATTTAAAAAAACAAAAAACAAAAAACAAAACAAAACAAACAAACAAAAAAACTCAAAGGAAAGAAAAGAACTCTAAAAGTTGAGAAGTCAGTGAAGAAATCATTTCAAGCCACCAGAAGTGGATTAAAGTTACTGCCTGCATAGGAATATTCCCTCTATGCAGCATGCACAGATACATCCAGGTAAGGGCAAGTGGATTTGAGCTTTCCATATAATACCATACTAAGAATTTGGCTCTTGAATAAATGTGTCAGCAAGCCATGGAATCCCCAAACAGAGAAACCCACACTGGGCCTTTATTCCACGTTCTTAAGGTCTATTGTTAACTGAAGACTCCTTGTCTTTTCAAATTCCTTCATGTGAATGGATGAGGCCAGACATCTGCCAGGATCCGCTCACATTTGCATGCAAATTAGAGACTTCATGACACACATGGCCCTGGAGCCAGCAACACCACTTCGACTCCAGCTTTATACAGGTCAGAGTATAAGTTTCCACTTCTCAAGTTCCAGGTTTTAAAAACGAAGTCATGGCAATATAGCAATAATATTAATCGTCTAGATGGCCGTGGTAAATCGAACTGTAAAACAAGATAACATACTCTCAGAAAATCCTACAGAAAAAAGTCCAAGTCAGCAGTACGTGTTCCCTCAGCGAATCTGAATTCCGTATTTGTTTTATTATCTGGGTCTGGGAATGAACTAAGGACAGGACGGAATGTAGGAGCTTTGCCTACATGGTTCAGTCATTCAAAGGCTTTGACACTGCCCACTCTCTGCACAGTTAGCTTTGAAGCTATTGCTGTGGATACCGCAGGCGAGGTCTCTCTGGAGCAAGTTCTACTACGGAATCTTCCAGCCTGCGCATCCATGCCTGCTATTGGACCACAGTCCCAGGACGAACTTCCCAACCTGCCCAGTGCACGAGGTGCCTCCGGGCTGCCTGGCTTTTCTGGGGAAACCCAACCAGCCAAGGACTTCCCCCTCAGGTAGCGGTGACTTCGGGAACCGAGGAAGCACCGAACCAGGCGGCAGCAGCCCACACCCCCTCTCCATGCAGCACAAAGGACACTCGCTGGCAAACTTTCCTAGCTACTGATCCTGGAGCAAAATGCCTGGAAGAGACCAAGGCTTCCTTGAAATCTCCACATCCATGACAAGCCTCCTTAAGGGGCTACCGCTTCTAGTTTCAAAACGCACACTTTTCTCCTTGTACCACGTAATAGTTGAGTATATTCTCCCCAATGCGCTGACTTCAGTCCTCTCAATGTTTTGTTAATTATGCTCCTTGCTCTTTATTCTTAACATTGAGGCCATTGCCAAGACCTCTTCCTCTCCCCACAACCTGCCACCTTCCTTTCTCTCCTCTTGACCCCATTCCAACTCCCTGGGTCTTCTGTCTGCGCTCTTCCCAGGCCCCAGCTTCTTTCCCTGTTCACATCCCCAAGCCTTCCCTTCTCTTTCCCACCCAGGACACCATCCCCTGATGGATCCCTGAAATGCTGGGGGCTCAGCTCCAGTCATTGCCTTTTGCCCATTTTCGTCTGGCCTGCCGTCTCAACTCTCCCTGTTTCATTTTTTTTAAAGCAAGAGGATGGTAACTAGATTCTCCTTTCCCGACTTCGCCTGCCCCCCGAACCCCAGCTCCAGAAACCGCGCCCCCCTGTCCCCTTTAGATCCGCGATCTTATCCCGAGGTGTCTTAAACACTGTAGGGTCCTCCAAGGTGCCAAGTTTGCTTCCACTCCTCCCTCGCTGCCTCCCAAACCTCCTGCTGCGGCCCAGTTGGTCCGGGCACTTACCCTAAGGCCCGGCTGGTGGGGGTGTCGGGGTGCGCACGGAGCTGGCGGAGCGGGCGGCGGTGGCAGCAGCAGCAGCAGCAGCAGCAGCAGCAGCAGCAGCAGCAGCAGCAGCCTGAGGATGAGGACTGGAGGAGCAGCGCCTCCTCCCAGCCCGCAGAGCGCACTGGCTCCTCGGGGGACCCCCGGCAGAGCACCAAGACGCAAGGCGAGACAGCCGCAGGAGCAACAGCTGCTGCGCGGGGCTGAGCTAAATCCGGTTCTTGGGGGTCGGAGTAGAGACAGGCAGAATTGGGAAGGAGGGTAGAAGAAACGGGGTTCAGAGGGCGGGGCGGCGAACGATCAGGTCTCAGGGAAGGCGTTCTAGGCGCCTCGGGATGCAGTGGCACGGATGCCGCTGCCTGGGAGGACGCCGTGGGCCCCGGTCCCTGCCCCGCAAGCGCTGCAAACCGGGGCGCACGGGCCTCGCCTCGTTCCGCGGCTCCCTGCCCGCGCCCTCCGTGCGCCCCGCTTTGTGCTCCCTGCAGCCGGCGTGCACCTGGTGTAAGCAAAAGCGGTCAGCTGATGGGCTGCGCGCTGATTGGCTGCTCAGCCGTCTCCTCCCCTCCCGCCCGACCCCCTTCCCGGTCTCCCCCCCCCCCCCGCACCCCCCTCGCACTCTCCCCCCTCTCCCGCCTAGGCGCAGCCCCGCGCCGGGACACCATCTGTAGCCCGCCCAACAAAGGGGCACCTCAGCCCCACAACCTCGGGCCCGCCAGACTACTGCGCCTCTACCGTCGCTGCAGGGAGCAGCTAGCTGTTCCTTTTCTTTCTTCTTCTTTTTTTTTTTTTTTAAATGGGGACCAAAGGCTGCGACTGGGTGAGGGAGGCAAGGGAGGGGGAAAAAGCCCTTGTAAGAAAGCCATAGACAAAATGGGACTGCATCTCTGAGCAAGGTAGAACTTGGGTTCAGGCGATAAGTAGACAAAATTCAGTATGAGTATTTCAGCGTGAGATCTGACCCTTCCTTTGGAGATAGGTGGTGATACGTGGTGCTTACAAACCCTCCGTTGGGACTGGTTCAAGCCCTTGCCATAGGGGTAGTACTGGGACCCTTAACTGAAAGGCAAAGCCACTGCCAGATTCTGGAGGCTTTCTGGAAAAGATTATGAAACTTTGAAACTACAGATTTCTTTTTGGTTAGCTATGAAAGTTGTGTTCCTATTAGCAGAGGATTGAAAATGCAGACTGTTTGCAGGGTGGGGGTGTGTATCTGAGAGCAAGGATGGGAGGCAGAGGTAGAACGGGGGGGAGGGGGGGATTTGGAGACTGCACCTGAATCCGAGTCTCAACTTCAAAGTGGCAGCCCAAAGCGGGGTTCAGGAGAAACCCTTGATACACGTTATTGGAAGAATCAGCTTTACGCCAGAGAGCATCATTAGTTGTCAATGTTGAACAACTTTGAGAAAGAGAGCGTGATTGTATTTCCTCAGGATATTCAAGCCAAGAAATTCTGGGGAAGTTGGAAGAATACATTATCACAAAATTTACTTTCAAAGTCGTTAATGCTAGGGGAGAGATTCAATAGCAATAATCTTACATTTTTGATCCCTATAGCGTCCCCTCTCCCCGGTGTCTTGCATAGCTATCTGAGAAGTGTTTACTTATACTTCATGTTCTCCTGAAACTCTTAACTATTTTGTAGCCACTGGTGGGTCAGAATATACCTTAGTAAGCTCTAGGGAAAGGCAATGTTAGGTTGCAGAATAGATAACAAATGAACAGTAGAGACAGGGGGTGGGGGGGGAGCATGTGGGGTCTAGACTATATTATCTGTTTTTGTCTCACTTTTTGTGTAGACTGCATGTAAGACAGGACTCAAAAGAAGGTGGTTATGTAGAGATGGAGACCTAGATGTGGTCTTTCAAGATGACTTGGAAAGTCTGTATTTTCTTGGGAGTGGGAGAGAGATGGTGCTACACCCTGTGATGTGGCATTCTCCAGAGGTGGGTCTTGGGGAATACAGCTGATCTAATGGCTGATGGTGAGGGGTGACTCCAAAGTTCTCTAGCAGCGTCCAGGTTTTAGAAAAGACTTCATGAAGACGGTGGTATGAATCAGGCACCAAGGTATGATTTTTGAAACCAAGCCAACACTGTTTTAAAGCCCAGAAGTGCAATTAAGATCCATGTCCCTGTGGGAAAGTCACTTTACCTCTTTAAGCGTTAGTTTCCTTGGCTCTAAAGTGGGATTAATCACAGTAGCCATCCCAAGGGACTGTGCAGGTTAAGTGAAAGTAAGCAGATAAAATGCTCGGAGCACTACATGGTGGACAGTAAACATGGACAGACGTTATGTAGCCAGGTTTTGCAGATTAAAACAACACATCAGATAGACAGGGGGTATTGTGATTTTACAACTTTCTCCTCAAAGGTACTGGCAAAGCCAGCAAGAGAAAGGGTCCTTGACTCCCTGTGATTCAATTCATTTCTTTTTAAATCAGCATATTGTTTATTTAAACCAATTTCCCTCTTTCTCAAAGCAAGTGTAAGAAAGGAAACCTAGCCTACTTCTACTTGATCCTGACATGGATTTGGCTTCAGTCAGGGGAACATTAGGAAGGACACCTGTCAGCCGTGGCGGGAGGAGCTTGTGACTGGGAGATGATCACTGCTGTGTGGTGGGAAAAATTATTGAGGGCCAGCAGAAGACAGATGAGGCATGGTGATCATGAAAGTTGAAAATGTGACCCAGTTATTGGATATCTGATGGGTTCTTTAAATTGTTCATTGTTCCACATTTTACAAATTGTCATTTAGTAACTTTGCAAAGGATGGCAAATATTGTACGCACTGCCACTCAGAAGACTTTGGTCATAGTGGAGAGTGAAGTAGACCAGGAAATCAAGAACATAATTAAATTTGTTTCTCACTTAATCCTCCACTACATCTATAAATGAATCTTCAGTGAATCTGTCTTGTTCTTGAGGACAGAATTTATTTGTTGGTCAAAAAGGATTTGATCTTGACATTCCTGCTAGGAGGGCATTGATGAAGACTGGTGTCTTTGGAGTGGAATGGAATTACAGAGATAGGGATGGGCGTTCCCATGAAAACTGGGTCTTCATGTTAATGCGAGGAGTTGTTCCTGCATTGGAGCTGGCTATGCTGAGATGCTTATCAACCTCCCCAGGGTTCCCTTTAGTCCCCCTTGAGTTCTCTTTCCTTGACTTTGAAAGAACGATATGTTTGGTGTTAGCCTAATTATGTTGATGTATGTGGTAAGTGCAGAGAAAAGAGAGATGGCGCTGTATTTTGAGAACAAAATAGGAATATGCCATTTAAAAACCACAATTTTTAGACCTTGAAGAAAAATCTCTCCCTCCCTCCTTCCCTCTCTCCTTCCCTCCCTTCCTCACTGAAATATTAACAGGATGCTATTCCTTCCAATCTCTAGACAAATAATCTAGTTTTAAAATAATGCATGTGAAACTTCAAAGTGTGTCATTCTTGTGATCATCATTAGCCTTCATGCCAGATGATGTGATGCTTGTCTAAAAATTTTGGACAACTGAATGAGTTTTTACCACATATGCATAATCTTTGTTCTTTTGTTTTTTAAAAACTGTCTATGAATTCATTCTAATACAAAAAGTTACTAATTGAAGTTTGTATAATTAAAATTAGTTTTAGCATTGAAGTCTAATTATTTTACATGAAAGTAAAGAGTCTGAACATCTCAATTTTCTCAGAACTCTCTCCGTATTAGATCTAAGAATCTTATCTCTCAAGAAACCCCTTAGTTTTGGTTAAATGAAGATAGTAAGCACTTAAAAGTAAAACTAACATTAATAGGTTTATGGTGATGCTTACCGGTTTAGTTGAGTCAAAAGCTTCTAGATAAACCAACTGGTATCTTATTCTCTACTTGAATAAAAGATCCTATTTCACATGCAGAACGTAATTACCTTAGAGACCTTAGCTATGGTCTTTTCTAACTTCCTTATTATTTAGATAAAGAAACCAAGCCCTGGGAAAGCAATTCCGCTGGTCTTTTGAGAATGCATACACTTTTGAGAAAGCCAGACCATATACTTTTGGAGGCAGCGACCATATGGCCAGATCCTAGGCTTAAACTTAGCATGTAATTGGTAGCCAGCAGACACTTTTTGAATGGTTGATTTGCATTAATCCCATTTTGGGCGTAGTTATGTAATTGAATCTCATTGTGTCATAAGCATTTTCTTCATGTCATTAAAATGTCTTTCATGATTGGATGTATGGTGATTGTATAATTCCATAAATCTTAGTGAGAAATAACAGCTTTGCCAATTATTTCCTGACATCACAGACATTCTTTATTAGAAATCCCATTGTTGTTATTAAGCTATAGAAATTAATTGTGTTTTGGGTTACCAACTTAACACTAACTTTTAAGTTTTGATCATCTTTTTACTTCCATATTACAGATCTTAGTAACTTATAAAATCTTTGCTTTTGTAAGTTTCAGTTAGAATTTTAGAAACATTTCTTTGTTTTCACTTGCTTGTCTTCCATTATGGTTTATGTTTCAGTTGTATAAGGGTAGCTAACATAAACTAAGAAATAATTTTGGCAGGCAGTACACCTAGAAGTATATACTGTATTGAGAGAGGTAGTGAAGGGAAATGGTTAAAACCCAGGGTCGGTTTGGCACAGCGGTGTGCATTTGCACAAGTCATTAAGTTCTCCGTGACTCTAACAGTATTTCTATCATGGGGCTTTGTGAGAACTAAAGAGGGGTGTGTGTGTGTGTGTGTGTGTGTGTGTGTGTGTGTGTGTGCCTATCACATAGAAAGCATTCATTAAATATTGAGATATTGTAATTCTAACTGCTGTCACAAATAGATGAAAGAATCTTAGTGGCTTAAATAAGGCAAGCTCATTTCACCCCTCTGTAACTGGTCCCTGTCCAGATGACCGCCACATGGTCAGTCCCGGCTCAAGTGATTTCTACTGTGTAACTGTCTTTTAAGTCTTCTGACTCATATCCCTTCACACAGAAGAAGGAGAAAGAGTGAATAAAAACCATAGGAGGAAGATCTGTGGTACACACTAAGAAATGGCTTCATGCTCCTCTCCCTTCCAGATTTTATTGGCAAAAACTCAATTAAATAGCTACACCTGATGATGAAGGAACAGGATTGGTGACTAGGTATGTGTCTAGAAGGTAGAAGAAGAGATCTTACAGCATATAGTAATCTATCTTAGAAATAGAGTAGAATATTTATAAATGTAGACATCCCTCCTAAGACAGATTGTTAGCTTACTTAATCCCCAGCAGCAGGTAAAAGCCTGTCATGGTGGCAATGATGTTGTGGCTAAAACATCAACCCAGAAAGGTCTTTACAACTCGGGATTCCTTTGTAACACTGTTCTTGAGCCTTCAGAGATGGCTCGGTGGTTAAGGATGCTTCCTGTTCTAGTTGATGACCTGAGTTCAGATTCTAGTACCCACTTACAACTGCCTGTAACTTCAGCTCTAAGGGATCTGATGCCCTCTTCTGGCCTCTGAGAACACCTGCACTTACT